ATAATAATAATAATAATAATAATAATTTGTCTTTTTTTACATCATTAATGTTCAGAGAAAAACTTCCTGATCCGAACTTTGTCCCGGTCCAGGATTAAAGGATGGAAGGATGAACGGATGATGGATGAACGGATGATGGATGAACGGATGATGGATGAACGGATGATGGATGCACGGATGGATGGACGCGGGGCAGTCAGTGTATGAGCGGGTTGGAGCCCTGGTTCTGGTTCGGATGTGTGAAGTAGTCCGCCAGCCCCCCGGACAGTCCCGAGGAGAAGGCCGGCAGAGAGCCGCTCAGGGCCGGCCTCAGCGCGTCGCAGGGCAGCGAGGAGGAGGACGGAGCCTGCGGGGAGTTGGAGGCCGAAGCCCGGGCGGCCTGCAGCGAGCCGCCGGTCCCGGTACCGGACGGGTGGGGCACGTGGGGGAAAAAGTAACTGGTCTGGCCCGCCAGCAGGTTGACGGAGCACGGGTTCAGGGAGTACGTGGTCCCGGAACAAGGCACGGAGAGGCCGCACGGCACCGCCGAGGCCGCCAGGGCCGCCGCCGTCAGGTGGTGGGTCGCGTAGGGCAGGTCCGAACCCACGAGCCGGTCCATGCTGAGCCCGTTGGAGGCCGGGAACGACGAGTGGTTGTTGCTGATGTTCTGGGTCAGCATGGAGCCGTAGGACATGGGGTGGCCCGGGTACCCCGACGACGCGCCGTTGTAGCTGAGGCCGGAGCGCGGGTGGTGCAGGGACAGGAAGGGGGACATGGGCCAGTACAGGGAGCCGGCCCGGTCCATGAAGGTGAGCCCGGACGTCAGGCGGGCCCCGCGCTTGAAGGCCAGCTTGGCCCGGGACGTGGTGGACCGGCGGCGCAGCTTCCCGGTGGTCCCGCCGATGAAGACGTCGTCGCTGCTCGGGTCCAGCATCCAGTAGTTGCCCTTCCCCGGGTCGTCGTAGTGTCTCGGAACCTTGACGAAGCACTTGTTGAGGCTCAGGTTGTGCCGGATGGAGTTCTGCCAGCCCTGCTTGTTCTCCCGGTAGTACGGGAAGTTCTTCATGATGAACTCGTAGATCCCGTTCAGGGTCAGCCGTTTCTCCGGACTCTGCCGGATCGCCATCATGATCAGCGCGTTGTAGCTGAACGGAGGCTTCTCGTACTTCCCGCTCTTCTTCTCCCCGTCCTTCTCCGAACCGGTACCGTCCGCGTCCTTCCCGTCCTTCTTGTCCTCGGGCTCCGAGCCGCCCTCCGGTTTCGGCTCGGCTTTGGGGTCCGGCTGCGGGGCCGGCGGCGGGGCTTTCTGCTCCGCGTCCTCCGCGGGCCGGTGCTGGTTCTGGTTCTGGTTCTGGTTCTGGTGGTGCAAGTGGTGCTGGTTCTGGTGGTGGTTCTGGTGGTTCTGGCTGCTGCTGTTGTCGCTCTGCACGGCCTCCGGAACCAGACTGTTGATGCTGAAGGACGACTTGGGGATCATCTTCACCTCTCTGCGCTCTCCCATGTCCAACATCACCGAACCGAGCCGAACCGGACCGGGCTGGGCTGGGGCTCAGTGCTGAACCTGCAGACTCAGCTGGGTCTCCGTCAGTCCTGTCAGGGAAGGGGAACCGTCCTGGTCCTGCGGGCTCAGCTGGGTCTCGGTTCTGTGAGGAGGGGGAGCAGCCAGCTGGGTCTCGGTTCTGGTCCTGCAGGCTCAGCTGGGTCTCGGTTCTGGTCCTGCAGGCTCAGCTGGGTCTCGGTTCTNTGTCGTCAACATATCTGAACCAATGGCTCGGTGGCACCCCTGAAAAGGACATCAAGGCTCTCTTTTCCACTTCCTCCATGTACAGCTTTGCAACAATAGGAGAAACTGGGGATCCCATGGCATAATAAATGTCTGTAACTAGTTTGACAGACATGAAGGTAAAGTATGATGTGGTAGTAGCTGAGAGTCATCCCAACACACTCTGAGCTCTAACAGATTGTGTACAATCTGACAATACTGTGTGACAGAGTCATATGTTGTTTTTAACATGTGACCAAAAGATCCAAACTGCATTATTTTTCACAATAAAAGTCAGTGATCTGCATTTCTTTAAGCTTTGATCTGTTGCTGGACATGACTTCATATCTGCGGCTAACTAAGCTAAGCTAGCTCCAGTGTCTTCATCACTGTTGGACATGTACGCACCAGAAATATGGAGTCCAGCTGGGTCTGATGCTGCTGGYCAGACTGAGACCTGGGAACCTCTGAGCTCTGCTGCTCCACTCTGTGGAGGAATCAGGAAGAAATATCTTAAACAAAGTCTTTCTGTCTTTCTGAAGAAACAACTTTCTGTTCCTGAAGAAGTTTTCCAGCCCTGTATTCCTTCATCCCTACAGCTGTTTCTGTTTTTAATGCAGGACAAAGCAGGGGGACTTGCATCTGACTGTTGGGGCTCCTTGATACCAGCGTTAGTAGTAACTGTTAATCCATTTATATTTGATGTGTTTTCGTGCACTGTATTGTATCTAATTTGTTACAACCTGTTAAAAATAGTGTATACATGGTTTTTAACTTTTCAGATCTGGACTTGAATCCTCCCAGTTTAAAAACTGGACTTTATTTGACAGCTGGAGTTAACTCACTCTGTTTTAAAGCTCTGTTGTTTGTTGATGTTTACAAGCAGGTGAGCCTCTGACCGGTCCCTCCCAAAGGACACACAGCTGGGTTCTGGTCCAGGTGTGCTCCTGTGAATACAGTCAGAGTGTTGATGGGAAGCTGTGACGTGGAGCAGAGTGGTGGGCAGGTACAGGTGGTCCTCTCACCTCTTAGAGGGAGGGGCTTCCTCCTCTCTGTCCTCACACTGATCCATGCTGCTGAACTCACTGAGTCCACATCAGCTCACACACACTTTGTCTTCACCTGCAGAGGAGACACAAAGACAAAACACTGGTACAAAGAGTCTGAACATGGACTGAAACTGTTGTTTAAAAAGTCCAGCTCTGACCCTCTACAGGCTGCCAGAGTCAATGAGTGACCAAGGAGGGTTTGTACTCAGCCTTTAATACATCACAGGTTGGGCTGTCTCAAGATTAGGTAGGTTCTACGTTTATCACTCAGCCCCACAGGTCATAACGCTTTGTGTGTCTTTCTATCTTTGTGAGGACCACACACAGCACTCAGCCTTGCTCTGCGCCGTCTTCCCCCCTCCAAGTTTGGTGAGAGGTGGATAGGCCTGTGTATTGGCAAGAATTTGGTGATACGATACATATCATGACAGAGGGGTCACGAGACGATATATCCCGATAAATTGCGATACTATAAGCAAGGCGATAATCGCGATGTTTTTGTCCAAAAATTCTATTAAATAAAAACCTCTTACAGGGAAAAAATGAAAAACCAAAATTCATTGTCTCAGGAAATTCTAATATTACACAGACATACTTTTGATACATTTAGCTGTGTTCTGCTTTGTATGTGTTTTATTTTATTTGTTTCATATTTCTTATTTCAGCCATGTTTTCAATTATTAGACTAAA